TTAATTGTTGGCAGGCAACCTTCTAGTTAAGGAATGCTATTCCAGAATACCTAACTGCCAAATCATATAGAAATCTGGAGTTATCTTAGCTTTATGCCTTAGGCAGAAAAAGGAGGCCTCAGTTATATACCTCTTAGATTACTGCAGAAGTGAGGAATCTTTTCAGGCAATTCATAAGTGTTAAAATTTAGTGTAATTTTGCAATCATGAAGAATTCCATTTTTTTAGAGGTATTTTTATTTATTTTGTGGGGCTACAGGCTCTACTAAAGATACAAAATATGTCCTGGATCCAGATTGTCACTCCAGGACCATTGTGATGCTCTCTTTGATTACTTTTTCTTGAAATAATCTCCAAATGTAACCAAATAGATAGGTTTCCGTCACAAGGTTATTCACAATATTCGCAGACCTCTTACTGCCTGGTGATGATGATGTGCTTTAAAGTTGGTATTAACTCTTAGCCACTACATAATCTTTTTCAGGATCTAAATGCCTATACATTGCATAAAATTGTGAAGGATTTATAGCTCTATAAGTATTTTATTTATTCATTCATCAAATTTATATGGCCATGCATTTCACAAACACGGGATTTTGGCCAGCATATTGCTGAACTACAATTCCTAGCTTCCTTGACCACTGGTCGTAACTGTAGTTTTGTTTCCAAATTACCTTAATTGTAGGGAGATGGTTTGCCACCATGTTTTTTCAAAAAATTAATTATAACTTTAAATCTCAAATCTCTGATCAAAATGTGGAATAATTTAATATCATTATTTTTATAATTGTTGCTATATACTCCTACCACATATAAGATTTTGGAGAAGTTCTAACATCAAAATAACATATGCCAAAAATCAGGATCAGTACTAAAATTTTCTGTTTCTGTTTATCAATACTATAAATATTAGAAAAATAATTTGAAAATTATATTTCACAGAAGAAATTTCTGACAGAGACTTTTATGATCGCATAGAGTTAGTTCAATGTTAACAAATTAACAAATAAAATGATCTAACTGTCAGCCTCTGCTTTGCTGCTGCTTCGGCTGCCATTGAAACGGGGAGGGGGGCATGGTATTTGGGAGGGGACTACTAATTGTGCTGGAGGAAGATTCTGGAGTTTCTGCTGCTTGTCTTACTGCGCATGTGGAGGAGGTTTTCTGCCAAGGCCAACGGCACCGACATTCCATCTTGGTGATGCCTTTCGAAGTTATCTCGCACCTGACACTTGGGAGAATTATGATTGGACTGTGACTGGGATGCCAAGGGGTGGGGAATGGGTTATTCTATATATCATTTGCTTTAGCGCCTAAATAATCAGTCTTCGCTTTGCTACGCTTCTGTTCATTTATAATTAGTAAAAGTACACTTGATTTTTATCAATGGAGTCTTGTGGTTTTCTTTCCTGATTATCCAATGAAGGAGTGCTGACACTAACACTCACATATTTTCATTATGTTGCTATTCTAGACACAAATCTGTGATGTGATCAATAAATACACAATGAATAAATTGAATGAATGAATAAGATGGGCATTTTTGTAAATAGGAGGCGTATAATTAGAGGAAATATGGTCCTGATTAGACTAGTTCTGTCCCAGTTTATTTCATCTATGCAGTTAAAATTTTAACTTGAAAGATTTGGGCCACAATGGTTATTACATAAGAGGTATGTGTTTCCTCCAGCCAGTGTTATTTTTCCAATTGATTGACCAATGGTAAACATAATAGACTCAAACTGCTTTTCCATTGAATAGGAAAAACCTATATAAAGGCTGGGGGGCAATAAAGAGAAATAAAATAATATAGTAGACATACTGTGTAGTAATCAGGCATGACATACTTATTAAATTGTAAAGCTCTAGATGTGAAACAGAAATATGACAAAAGTGCATATGATTTAAGTTTACTTCTGAGATGTTATATGTTGTCTAGTATTCACATAATCTACTTTCTGTCTTAGTCCCAATCAATTATTCTCCAGATATCCTATAACTTATAACTTCAGGGGACATGACTACTGCCACTCCCGGTTAGAGATTGGTTTTGGTGCAACGAAGCTGAAGGAAAGCAGATTCAAAAAAGCTGGGCTAGCTTATTTATTTTTGAATTAGGAAATGATTGCACACCACAGTTGAATTTGGAGACAAAAAGTGATTTTTTTAAATAGCAGTGAGCCCAGAAAGTAACTAACGGTCAATTATTTAGGGAAAAAATAATAATTTTATGGTATAAAACCTGAATTAGAAAAGGAAACAGAAAAGGGGAAAGAAAAAGTGGAAGAATGATGGGATAAGAAAACAAACCAATCACATTTGGTATTACCAGCCAGCAAAAGTTTATTAAAAATAATTCACCGAGTGAAATCGTACATTTACTCGGAGAGAGCATCCTTTGATATTCCCATCTAGGTGATCTCTGAGCTCCTCCAGCTTTCGATGGAGCTATATGTAAACATCAGAAAATGAATTGAAAAAGCCACCTATTGCCTTTTCATTTTCTTTCTTTCCATTTTTTTTAAAAAAGTGATGATACAGTGCAACACATTTGCCATAGCCTTTGTAATACATGTAGCATAATACAAAAAGACTAGCCTTTTGTTAAGATAAAAATCATTTGGTTAAAATAGCAACTATTTTTTAAAGTGTAGACGTTAATTAGCAAATACATATAGTTATAGCTACTGGTACACTTCTCAATAATCATATATTGATTCCTAACCATCAGAGTGCTAAACATTTTCAGAACATTTTTAAAAGAGTCCTCATACAATTTCTATAATAATAAGATTTCTGAGTAATTATCTTTATTTCATCCTTGTGTTTTGGGTCTATGCCAATAATTCAAAAATAAAAATATGAACTTTAAAATACTTCATTCATATTTTAGCAAAAATGTATAAATGTCTAAAAATGCAATTTGGAGACTGAGTTCTCAATGGTTGTTTAATGTGGATTTATTTATAATGGCTAACCTATTAAATACACTGTTTGGCATTGTTTATTTATTTATATAAAGCATCAATTAATGTACACAATGTATACCTCAATTGCATTATAGTTTTAATTCTTTGAAAGAAGAATCCCTAGAGAAAGACATAGAGGAATGTAATATTATCATTAGTATAAGTATAATAGCATTTTTATATTCATTTTCATTAGATTATTTTTTGGAATTGAATATGGGAAACAAATGCATAATTACAACTTTGTCTTCCCCCTCTTTATGCTCAGTGCAATGACACTTTTACAGAGAGCAACTCTATTGAGCAGTATTAAGAGAAATAGTAAGATGGCTTCTTTTGGAATAAAGGTGATACACACACACCACACACACAAAAGAAAATAATTTTCAAGACAGAAAGCTGAGATGGCAAGAAAGTGCAAAAAACAACAGAAAGAACTTAGTGCTCCATGTGGTGCAAAACACAGTTGAAGTAATAAAGTGAAACGCTTCAAAGTTTATAAAAATAATTACCTATTTATACTGCTGAATATTGTCAGGATAACTATGCTGTGAGCTTTCAGCATTTTTATAATCCAAGATATTAAACATTTTTCCACTACATTCACTGATTTGTTAGCCAGCTCTATAAGAATGTATAAGTTAACATATCTTAATATGATATACCACACAATACAATACAATAGCAGAGTTGGAAGGGACCTTGGAGGTCTTCTAGTCCAACCCCCTGCCTAGGCAGAAAACCCTATGCCGTTTCAGACAAATCACTATCCAACATCTTCTTAAAGACTTCCAGTGTTGGGGTTTTCACAATTTCTGGAGGCATTTCTGATTAATTGTTCTAACTGTCAGGAAATTTCTCCTCAGTTCTAAGTTGCTTCTCTCCTTGATTAGTTTCCACCCATTGCTTCTTGTTCTACACTCAGGTGCCTTGGAGAATAGTTTGACTCCCTCTTCTTTGTGGCAACCCCTGAGATATTGGAACACTGCTATCATGTCTCCCCAAGTCCTTCTTTTCATTAAACTAGACATACCCAGTTCCTGCAACCGTTCTTCATATGTTTTAGTCTCCAGTCCCCTAATCATCTTTGTTGCTCTTCTCTGCACTCTTTCTAGAGTCTCCACATCTTTTCTACATTGTGGTGACCAAAATTGGATGCAGTATTCCAAGTGTGGCCTTACCAAGGCATTATAAAGTGGTATTAACACTTCACGTGATCTTGATTCTATCCCTCTGTTTATGCAGCCTAAAACTGTGTTGGCTTTTTTGGCAGCTGCTGCACACTGCTGCTGGCTCATATTCAAATGGTTGTCCACTAGGACTCCAAGATCCCTCTCAAGATGGAGATTAGTTTAGTAATGTCTAATATTTAATTTAAAAGGGAATTCATTCAAAGAAATATCACAAAATCTTTATTGTTCATTTAAATGAATATACAAACATGTGTCCGAGTTTGTCTAATTTATTAATACATAAGAACTCTTGAGGAATAAAACCTAAGAACACTAATAAAAAACAACAATTTAGTTGACTTTCGAACTGAAGAAAAAGTCTTGTGTCTATTTAGATACACTTGAAAGTGCATCCATTTAAACTATCTTTTTCCACTTAAAAGGAATCAGACTAACTCCTTCACTGCAATTATATAAATTTAAGAAGGTGGTAGATTATGCCTCAGAATCCTTCTCTACCTAGAATGAACAGAATTTGCTACTTTGCCATCTGAAGTGTTCATGATTCTAATCCAAAAATAGGTTAAGGAAGCTAATTTCTTTTGCAGAGGTACAGTATGATTCAGAAATAATAGTTTGGCAACTTTCCTTTAGCTAACTGAGTTATGATAGCTCTTGTATAGCACAGAAACAAATAAAAAGTGATCCCATAGTGATTAAAAAAAAGTGAAATAAAAATAAGTGGAATGGTGAGAAATATCGAAGCTCCACCCTCTTCCTTCCCTCCCCACTCCCTGTAAAAAAAAATGTGTAGGCTATAGAAGAAAACTTGCAAAATAAAATTTAGAAACATATTTACTTTGAGGGATCCAACTCTACTAGCAACTCCTTTGCTTTCATCCGGGCGTCTAATTTGCTACAATGAGGGAAGATGGATAAAAGAGACAGAAGAATAAAGAAAAAGTAAACTTAAAAAAATTTCCACACAATCAGTTAGCAGTGCATGCAAGACATTACTTTGACTTTCTGACAAACTTCTAGGGAACAAGGACACAGACTCTTATTTCTGGATCACATGATGACTCGTTTGCTGAGTTCTTTCTTTTTTCTAACGATACAGGTACTGAAATTGTACACACTGTACTTACTAATTATTGTTTTAATAACACATAGAATGCCGCAAGAGTCTGGATTTGATTCATGAAGCATTGACAGAAATGTAGCTGAAATGTATGAAATTGTGCCATATGCTATATAATTTAAGCACAGACCCGAGAAACCTGCTATTGTAGATTGAACACTTAGCCCTGCTAAATATGTGATAATTGGCAGAATAATATACAGCTGCCCCATGTTAAAAAAAAGAAAATATCAGCCACTTAGTTCCCAGTTAAATAATTTTGCTGCCCACCAGAAAATTTTAATGCCATACCAAATGCCAAGACACATCTATTTTTTTTACTACTAGCCTCATTGTATCCTACACTGTGCAAAACAATTAAGAAATGTTTATCAAGAGGTTGGATTTCTAACAAGAAAGTTGAAAACTAAATAGAAAAATATGCATACATACATCTATACATGCATACATACATACATACACACACAACAGCATAGAATTTTTATTGCATTTGTTTTGATAAAATTTTGGAAACAACCCTCCCCCTGCAAAGTCTAAAGTCTAACATTTTGTATGGTATATCACAACTTGACGAAGTTAAGTCTACATAAACATGGTGAAACATTCCCACTGGAATGGGATAGTTAACAAATAAGGTAGCATAATACCAAAGCCATAAGTTGATCTTGAATTCTAGAATTTCTGAGAATATTTTGACAAAATTACAACCAAAAATGAAATTCATATTTCATAAGAGGATAAAAAGAAAGCTGAACCAGTTTTGCTCACTAATAATAAATAGGGAGATAGGGACTCCAATCATTCAGCTAAAAAACTTATGTAGGATTTTTTCTGATTTAGTATTTCTGTGCCTTAATTCCTCATTTATAAAACTGAAGTATTTAATCATGTATATCTTGATTACATACTAATAGACTATGGATATATGCAAGTAATAAGATGAAAAAGAAATTCAGAAGTGAAAAGCTTCATTGTTTTATTTCAATACTACTTTCTTAATTTCTCTTGTTCTAGGATAATTATATTAAAGACTATAGAAAGGGTGTAATTCAATATTTATTTACAAAGAACTATACACTACAATTATACATGTACACAGTGGGACCCATATTGAAAGAATATCAGTTTTTAAATTAAAAAAATCCACTTGTGATTAAGAGATAAAAATATATAGGTATTTGCACTGAAGCCTCAAAATATGAAAAGGCTGAAGATTGTATTCCAAAAGTAAATTGATCCATTAATGTACTATTTTCCATTACTAATTTGGATGTATGTCAAGTTAAAAGAAATAACACACCACCGTTTTGATAACACCAAGTTACAGGGCCTCAGATCTTGCAAATGAATGAAAGGCACATGGCGTCTGCCATCTAAAATAGAAAATAAAGAGGACCATGACAACTTTTTTCATCGGGTTAAGCCAGAAATATATTTAAAGGCATAATTAAGGTGTTACATATACTGTATTTAGATAGATGGAATCAGAGATATTAAGATTTGCCACCGTGTATGCCTTTGTACTTTCGTAAAATATGATTTGGAAAGCAGAGGATGAATTTCCCTAAATTAGGGATAGAAAATGTATTCATAATTTTCTACAGTTGTACACTTCAAATTTTACTCACTACAAATGTACATGAAAACATGAAACTCAGTGAAGGCATAGGGACAAGACAGATAGAGGAAAAATAATGTAAGAATTACTTACCTTTAAGATAAAATTTTATGTACATCTACTTCTGCATACCATAGCACTCCTTCATTTTGTATCCGGTTAACTGGTTAGTCTCATTTATTAGAGTTGTAAACCATTGATTACCATTGTTTTGCTAGCTATGATCATTTGCTGCTAATTTATTCCAGATGCCACCCAAAAGACCGAAAACAATAGAAAAAGTCAACCACTCTTTTCCTTCTCTGTTGCATCATCAGTGATGAAAATGGCAGTAAAATCATCATCTTTCTCTCCAAGGCAATGGATGAGGGTCTAAGAATGATTAATGCCCCGATTGCTTCTTTTCAAATGTCAGTCAATACTAAAATGTATGCAGTTCAGAACAGGAAATCTCAAGTAGAAAAACACGGGATTCTGACACATTCATAACATTGGAAAAAGCTAATGAGGTCTTGTAGACTTAGAATCTTATTCTTGCCATTTTAATTTGTTCATTCATAGATTAGTAGAATGAACTTAACATGGTTGTCTGATCTGTTAGAGAAAATCTATAACAGGGAATATTAACTCGGCTAGAAGATTATCAACTGAATTTTGAAAGAGCAAAACATATTCTTTCCTCTCCCGTACTGTTGACAGGACTTGGGAGTTTCTCAAAACTAGAGAGAAAAGCAAAATTAAACATGATCAATCTTGAATGACTCTTCTAGATGATCAAAAATACATGTATAAAATAGGATGTTTTCTTATGAAGAAAAGGAACCTATAATCTTAGGGTTTTTTTTGTCTGAGATAAATAAAAATCTAATATAGATAGTTCTAGCTTACTGACCACTTATTCACCACCATTTGAGATTACAACTGTGCTGAAAAATAAGACTTACAGGTCTTCAAAGTTGATGCCATTGCAGCATCCCCATGGTCACATGATTGTGATTTGGGTGCTTGGCAACTAGCACACATTTACGATAGTTGCAGCATCCCAGTGTCATGTGATTGCCATTGCAAATTTTCACAGGCAATGGAGAAGCTAGGAAGAAGTTGCAAGTTGCAGTCATGTGATCTTGCATTATTGACCCAGGTGATTCACTTAATGACTACAGCCAGAAATGATGTAATAAAGTGGCATGGTCACATTTCACTTAAGGAACATAATGCTTAGTGACAAAGTTGCCAATCGCAATTGCAGTGAATGAGTACTACCTGTATGAGATTAGATACAAGATATTTAAGATTCTATTGACAGTTTGGGATGACTATATTTTCTACTGTCCATCAACTGTTGACATCTCTTGAATGCTTATATTATTACAGTATATCATTTTCAACAGAGTGATAGCAACTCTTAGTCCTTATTAATAGTGTGCTTTTGCTTACTTTGCAATTGAGTTTTTTAGAATATAGGATAGTCCCATTTTTTAAATGACATTTTTATACTGGTAGTGCTTTTTTTTGTAAGATTATAAATACACATTTTTATTATAAATATAATATGACAAATCTTTTCTTTTTATTTATCAATGAATGTTTTATATTAATCTATATAGCTGAATGGTCAGAGAAATAAACAGATTTCTTTTTACCGAATGTATGACATTCAGATTGGTTATGTGCCATCAAGCTGTTATCAACTCTTAGCAATCACTGAGAGAAATTTTGTCCTTGACAATCTATCTATAACCTAGTCATGATCCTTAGTGATGTCGCAACACAAGCTTTCTAACCTTCTTTCATCTTGCTCCAAGAAGCACTAACCGCAATTATATCTAATACATTTCCAGTAGACTAATATAAAAGCATGTCTATTTATTTATTTCCCACTTTATCGGGTATATATCATTTAAAATGGATTCTCTTGCCATAATTCTATGAGACCTTTGTAACAGTTTTTACTAATCTAGAAAAAGATCTGGTGTTCCGTTA